TTTTCATTGACAAAACGGGCTAATTTTTGTCTTTTCATTCATAAAGTCAGAAAAAAACAACTTATGAATCAAAATTAACATGTATTTATACTAAACTTATACACAAATGACCACAAAACATTTAGAAGTGAGTTTTTTTACAATATAATTGTAAAACACTTTCACGAAGCAGCTCCCAATTGTAGTCTCCCATCGTGTTCTCATGATATTGTCCTTGGTAGCTGCGTTCAAAGTTCAGTATATCCTGGTGGAAGCACTCGTCTTGCTCCTCTGAGTACACTCCCATGTTCTCCTTGAATTTATCAAGGTGAGCATCAAGGATATGGACTTTGAGAGACATCCTACAGCCCATTGTACTGTAGTTCTTCACCAGAGTCTCAATGAACTCCATGTAGTTTTCAGCTTTGTGTTTGCCCAGGAAGCCCCAAACCACTGTGACAAAGCTGTTCCAAGCCACTTTCTCCTTCCTAGTGAGCTTCTTGGGGAACTCCTTGCACTCCAGGATCTTCTTTATCTGTGGTCCGACGAAGACTTTTTGCCTCAGACAGCTTAAGAAAGAAGTCTTGAAGGCTGCTGACTCCTTATCTAGAGCTGTGACAGATTGTTTCATAAGGCGCAATTTTATGTGCAATGGTGGCATCAGCACTTTCCGGGGGTCCACCAATGGCTCACACTTGACGTTGTTCTCAGTCCACTGTGGCCAGTCCCTCCTTTGGTAGTGCGCCTTGGTGTCCCTGCTGTTTCAAAGACAAAGATAGCAGGGAAACTTGGTAAAACCTCCTCGGAGACCCATCAGAAATGCCACCATTTTGAAGTTTCTGATGACTTCCCAGCGGTACTCATCATACTTCAAGGGGTCCAGCAATGTCTTGACGCTGTTGTAATCCTCTTTGAGGTACACCGATTGAGCCAGGGGAAGAGATGGGTACTTGTTCTTGTTATGGAGCAGCACGGCTTGAGCTGTCAATGAAGAGGCGCCACTCGTTTGGGCTACAGGCGATTCTGATTGCCTCGAACAGACTGACCACATTGTGGCAGAAGTAGAGCCCATCTTAATGGGTGAAGAAGATAAAAAGCTTGGTGACGCTTCCTATGACCTGTGACTTGCACACTTTCATCCAACAACTTCCACTGCTCGAGCTTAGACGTCAAAAGTTCAGCATTGGACTTGGTGAGACCAAGATCTCTGATCAGGTTGTTGAGGTCTTTTTGGTTGGAGCAGTATGGGTTTCTCTCCTCAGCTCCACCTCTGAAATTGTAATCTGGATCTTCAACGTGTTTCTCTCTCTCTCTGACATGCTGCTCACTTTTGAAGTCTTTATACTACTATTTATATTACTGGAAAGTTCTAGAAAGTTCTAGAAGGAAATGTTCAGGAAAATAACATATTTTGAAATTTACCTATTTTCCAGAACATTTCCAGACTTCTTAAACTTCTTAACTCAAATTAAAATATCGTGTAGTCAAATTTATGTAGTATTCCCTAATTTGAAGCATTTAATTCTAGGAAGAAGCAGAATAAGAAAATATAACGCTTGAAATGAGTAAAATCATCTAAAACCAGCTTGAATAATCTAATATTTGATTCATAATGATCTGTCGTTTTTTTGCAGTGTGGATTTTTGTTAAGGGTGTAGGGAGAAAAACACAGACACTGCTGACCCACATATCACCCAAAAAGATTAAAATGAACAGACATACAGGATTTACCTAAAAGTGGACTTGCTTTGATTATGCTTCCTCCTTGTGGATGCTTTGTGCTCTTACATGCTTTTTCTATTGCGCTATTTTCAGAATTAAATTCAGCAGTACAATTTAGATATTTATTCATTTAGTTCTGTCTGAGTCATATTTGAACTTTACTATAAAACACTTTAAGAATCTGCTTTATTGGTTTTTAAGCCCAATGCTAAATAATAATAATAATAATAATAATAATAATAATAATAATAATTATAAATACCACAGTACATTTACTATCTCCATAGTCACTTGCTCTCCTCCTCATATCTTCCAACAGAGAAGAAGGACACGGTTTTGCGGCAGGTGCGCCTCGACCCGTGCGATCTGCAGCCCATTTTCGACGACATGCTGCACATCCTTAACCCAGAGGAGCTGCACGTGATTGAGGAGATACCTATGGCCGAGGACAAGCTGGACCGTCTGTTTGAGATCGCTGGAGTCAAGAGCCAAGAGGCCAGCCAAACGCTGCTTGACTCCGTGTATAGCCACTTGCCTGATCTCCTATAGACGTGTTTCATTCATTGCTACTTACAGACATTTGCATAGAGTGAACAAGACAGAGAGTAAGAGAAGGGCAGACAAACAAACATACACAATCCACCATGTCCTTCTGGAAAAGTCACACAAGGGTCTTTAAGCATATTAAAAGCCATTGCTAGCCAAATGTAGCTTATATGCATTGTCCTCTTTACACTTTGGAGCTTCTCGTTTGTTTGTTTGATTATAGTCATACATTCATAATGCTGTAACATACCAGCATATTCACTTCTCGACAATGTCTAAAACTAATGCACATTAATGTAATTGACACTTTAGTTAGGTGATTTGCAAGCTCAATCCTAGATCCTACGGCATTCTGCCAAAATGTGTTAAACAAAAAAAAAGTCCTAACCAGCAAAGCCTTTTTCTGTCTTTGCTCTGCATTTATGATGAATACTGCTATTCAAGGATTTCCAATGTGAATTTATGGGCATTGAACAACACCACTACTGGCTGCCATGTCACAATCATGACTAAAGATATGCATTTAGTACTCTACTTGAATTGGTCTATCAACATGTGGATGCGCTTCTCCAAGAAATGAACAGCAAACATGCAAACATTATTTAAGGCCCAGCTGGGAAGAGAAGAAGCAACACTTACTTGGCTAACTTGATTTTTGGAAATTGCCAGGGTCAAGAGCCAGGAGGCCACTTAGGCTTGATTCTGTGTACAGCCACCGTCTATAGACCTGTTTAATGGCTACTTGCAGACGCTCACTTAGAATGGACAAATAAGGGCAAATAAATAAACATACACTTACACAGTCCCTGAAAAACTGCCATGTTGTCTAATGTCCTGTACATGCAAGCTTGAAAGGTCACACAGGGGTTTCTACACAGTAAAAGCTACTGCTAATCCACTGTAGCATTTGTGAACTGTTTGCCTTGACACCTTGTCTTTACGCTGTACCATCTGTTAAACTTCAGCATATTCTCGCACACTTGTCCTCACAATGACTTTGACTAAAAGTGTTCATTAGTATTGATATAATAGTTAAACCTAATTCCTGATCCTATAGCATTCTGCCAAAATGTGTTCGTTTTGACTGCATTTATTGAGCACTGGTGTTGCAGCTTTGTGTAATGATGTCTAAGTTGATTTTAAAGGGCATTTCAAAGCAACACAACTGGCTGCAACGTCATTCATGAATGAAGATATGGGTTTGAATATTCTGCTTGAATTGATCTGTTGATATGTAGATGTGCTTCTCCAAGAAATAAACAACAAACATACATGATACTTCAATTGAGCCCCAGATCCCAGTGGCACAAGCAACACTGGGACTTGACAGAGGTTTGTGCAAGGAAGAAAAATACACCCACAGAAAGTAATTTTGTTCAAATCGTTCATATTTCAGATGATGATATGTGGTATGCAGAATCTATCTTGTGAGCTAGATGTAGCTAAGTAGTGAGCTGTTCAGATTCTACTGTCAGTCGTCAAATTTTGGCATTCATACCTCCTCCCTTTTGACAACAAGGTGCACAGGGTTACTTGACCTTTGTTTGACTGTCAAGGCAAAAAGTATGAAGCTGAAGTATGAACATTATATTCCAGTCACAGATTTAAGACTTAAAACATGTAACCAATATATTTACTATTATGTAAAACAAGAGATTGATGACTGACCAATTAAAATGAAAACATTTGTTACAGTATTGTGTTTTATTGTGTCTTCGCTGCATCAAACTAAATGCTACTTTAGAAAAAGCTTTTAATCCAGGCAGTGTTCACTTGAGGCAGAATACAATCCAGTCATCTAGGTGTTGCGGAAGACAATAGTGATACACCAAATAACCCTTGCAGACCCACATTAAGAGTATACTGTCCAATAATTTGAACTGAGTTACTATACTTTTGCACAGGTTGCTTATAGCTTGCTGTTTGTCTGCATTTAGGCCTGTTGCTTATGACAGTTAATAAAAACTCAATGTAAATACCATTTTCTCATGAGATGCCACAATAGGACTATTTAATTATGAAAAACACCCGTCTCCTCAATTTCATCCTTTCTGCTTCAGGTCCGATACAAGAGCAAATATAAAGAAACCTTCTGCAACTTTATTCCCCTCAATTATCATGTGGCACATCTGCAAAAAAATATAGATATCTAAAAACAAACTACTGCACTTATAGTAATGATGTCATATAAGTAGGTTAGTGAAATAGGTAACAGTAAACAGTGCTGAGAAGTTCAGTCACAATCACAATCCAGAAGAGAAAAGCATCAGTGATGATTTAAACTTTTTAAGGTTATGCAAGTCTACTGCACCATAAGAGTGTTTTGGGAAATCCATCTGTGACTCAGCCGTGGCAATGTTGCAAATGCTGTACATATCTTGGTCACATGGCACTGTAGATCTAAAAGTGCATTCAAATGTCTTGTGTATGAGGAAACACCCCCAAATATTTTAGGGTCACTAAAATATGCATTCAGCCAAATTATCATCCATACAGCTGCTAATACAGATATCATAAGATTTATCCATCCATCTTCTGTACTGCTTATCCTACACATGGTCACAGGGAACCTGGTGCTTGTCCCAGGGGACACCTTGGACAGGGTGCCAACCCATTGCAGGGCACAATCACACACATCCTCATTCACACATTACAGACAATTTAAAGATATCAATCAGCCTACAACATATGTCTTTGGAATGGGGGAGGAAACCTCTAAAGCACAAGGAGAACATACAAACTCCGCACACACAGGGCAGAGGCAGGATTCAAACCCCCAACCCTAGAGGTGCAAGACAAACATGCTAACCACTAAGCCACTCCACCTGGAGCTAACACACTCACCATTTCTGTACATTTTGTAAGCATTCACTGACATCCATGAACCTGCCCAGGTGACTGCAGCTGATCCTGAATAAATAAGATGGCTTCTTCTGTGCTGGTGTATCCCTTTCTGCAGAACAGACTTCTTGACCTCATGTCTATCTGTTATAAAATAACTGTCACAGTACAAGCACTTTATACTTAAGGCCAAATTTAAAATACAATTCTACAAGCTGATGAAGTGCCATGATATACTATATGCAGGAGGGTCACTTTACATGCTTCCTGGTCTGAAAGATTACTGCCACGTACTGTACAAACTGTCTCGGGGGCACATTGTTTCAGGGGCAACAACATTGTCCATAGACAACAATTGACATGCCACTTTCTGTTTTCTCTCAAAATTTGTCGTTTTGGTGAGATTTTTTTCTAAACTGTTTTTAGAAGAACTCGTTTACTATCAAAAAGGCTTTAGTTGTGCTGTTCATTTGATCTCTGTACCAGTGTTA